ATTCCAACGTTGTGAATTATATGGTATTAACATTGATAAAACCTGACATTGCCTGCTGGGATGATAACCCAGCCCTCTCAGCCGAGCATACATCTTTGGCATCCAGCGCACCAACGAACAGTATGCAGCCCACACAAAAATCCTCACTGACCTGCCTTTTCTTGCGTAGAAGCAAAAAGGCCCTGCCCTTTAACACCTACTCACAAATTGCTCCAACTTGGGCAGCGCTAACGCAGATTAAACCAGTCTTTTTCGGAATGCCAATGACAATGTAATTACCGGAGAAGTGTCCCAAGCGAACATCAGACGTCGAAGCACACAAGGGGGCAAAAAAGCACACCTGGACACCAATGCTGGGGTACTACTTCATAATCATTTTATCTCGATACGGCCGTGAAAGGTTCAGATAAGATAGAACATTGAGTATTCACACTGTATTTTATTAAAACAAATCGGTACACTTGCGTTGTGCCCCTGGAGTCCTTACCAGCGCGTAACTAAAACATGAATGACTAAAATCCTGAAAGTATACAAAACGTAAATTGCGGAATTGAAAGTCTAATGAAAATGGAAGAATTGTTGCTAAAAATATGAATAAATTTATACTATTCCCTAACACCAACAAAACACACTTTGACAAAAGCCTGAGCATCACATATCTAATGGCAACTCACACTCCTCAAACGCCAAAACTCCTCATCTTCCCCAAATTTATGCCTCCTCAGTCATAGCTCCAGGACAGCGCCGTTTGGCCACTACAGACCCAATTTCTCGCAAAAGGTAAATTTTCACATCTCCTACTCCACAACACCTAACTGAAGAATATCTGCTCATCCTCAGTGAGGATGCTATTGCGACAAATTAACCCAATACATGCTCCACCCTTACTAAGCTTTCACAAAATAGCTCCTCGCCTCCACACAGGGCAACCACATCGATAGAGCGCACGCGAGCCCCTACTTCACCGAACTCTGAGTAAACTTCCTCAAATCAGTTTTCCACGAATGTATCCGTAGTCTCGGAGTACTTAGCTACAGCACAAAGCCCTCTGGTCACGGTTATCCAACCTCTTCTTTCCTTACTGCTTAGCCTCCTATTTTCCTACTAACACATCTTCCGTCAATAATTATTCTCCTCTGGAACGCCCGAAGACTCGGATCCAAACTACCACAACTCAAACTGTTCCTGTCCCATGCAAACCCAACCATAGTATGCACAACAGAAACTCACCTACAAGGATGGTACTCACCTCGCTTTCCGGAATAGACATCCTATCGACAGGACAGAGTCGACGGCTATAGAGGATTTCTCCTGCTAGTCAGCACCCAAAAAGCAGCATGAGCAGCCATGTTTGAACCTTTTTGCAGACGGTCATATGCAATCGCTAGCAATAGATGTGGTCCTTTTTGAGACCTGTTCCCGCATCTACCTCTTCTAAAATCCTTGCTGTTTCATCTCACAGTAAGAATTCGAACACTACTTCTCCCTCGTCGTAGATAAAAACCTCATCTGTGGAGAATTTAATGCTTATCAACCCCTATATGGGGTTGAAAAGGTGTTGCTCCCCATAATGCTTATCAACCCCCGACATCCCAAAAACCAGGCAACACCTCGCGGGCACTTCCCTTTTCAAAGCACTCATCAAGTCTCTTTACTTCTCTTAATCCACGGATCCAGCCCACCCGCACAGACCCTAAAACCAGAGGATTCAGTACTAGATCTTTTCTTCGGCCCTCGATGTTTCCACTTATACTCCGTTTCCCTTGGACATGACCTGGGTACTGACCACACCCTCCCTACAAAACTCGCCCGCGTTGGTCTTTTCCTCGCGATTTAACTGCGGATGAGTGGAGGGTTTGGCGTGCGATTCTTGCGGAGAAGGGCATCCCCGCGGAGACACGCCACTGGGATCCTATCGTGCTCTTTCCCACGTTTCGAGACCGCATATATTGAGGACCACTTTAATTTGAGGCAGTCCACTCGCCCGCATAGGCCGAGTCGCCCTTGGTGGACATTTGACTGTATTAGCAAGAAGTAAAAACTGCAGTTGAGTTCACAAAGAATCTAGGAAAAGTTTTCTCTCTCGTATTAGCCCTCGGACTCCTGCACTCGTATTAGCCCTCCACGGTCTAGAGGATGTACAGAGCAGTGTCGGGCCGTTTCCCCCCTCGGCGATCCCACTGACAGTGGCTGTTACCCCCCGAAGGAAACGGCGGAGGCTTTGGCAGCTCATTTTGCGTCATCGCTCTCCCACAGACGTTATTTCTCCCATAAAGGGATAGATAGAGCGCTAAACTGTGAAGATGATTCGTCAGTAAACTGCAATACGCCGCCTAGAAACTCGCTACTCCCTCAACGAAGACCTCATTCACAAAGCCTTTTTTGCGCATCTTCCTCCTGTAAATCATTCAGCCCTACTCGCAATCTTCAGCAAATCCTTTCGTCTTGAGGAGCTCCCCCACGAAAAGCAAACCTCAGTTGTAATCCCGATCCCCAGACCTCAAAGGGATCCATGCGTCCCCAGTCATATCGTACAATCTCTCTGCTATCCTGCTTGGGAATGCTTATGGAGAGGCTGGTGTGCGACCGCTTCTCGTGGGGGCAAAAAACAAGAGGCTTTCCTTCAATATCAGCTTGGTCTTCGGCGCCGCTTTTCAACTATAGACGCCTTAGTCGCACTTGAGCATGAAATCTATATCACTTTGCGCTCCGTACAGGTTCTTCTGACAGTCTATTTCGACCTCAAGGGCGCTTTTGATGGTGTATTTAATTTCGGCATACTTTACAAGCCAACGCAAGCAGGAATTAAAGGTCGCATGCTGCGCTGGAGTTGGACATTCTTGACGGACCATTCCTTTTATGTATCCGTGCCTGGAAGGTCATCTCAAACACACCCTACTAAGTCTGGGGTCTTTCAAGGAGCTATTCTTGTGCCAATCCTGTTCAATGTAGTCCCTAGAGATATTCCGTCAGCGCCATACGTAGCCACAGCTATCTACGCAGACGATATTACCATGTTCGCGGCGGCAAATACTCTGGCTGACGCAGGTGACAGACTTCGGAGGGGCGATAGGCGATTAAATTGTGGCCATTCAGGTGACAGATTCAGAGGGCGATACCTTACAATCTGGGTTAAGATTTAATTGGTCCCTCACCTTAAATCCCACAAAGTCAGCATTCCAAAATGGAATGCTGACTTTATTCACCCGAAAACGGAAAATACATCCCCTGCCTTTCCTCCACATCTCTGGCATGCCAATTGCAAATAGTTGTCATCACCGCCACTTTGGCCTCATACTGGATTCTTCCACCCTCACTTGAAGAGCCCACATAAATAGTCTTCTGACACGTTGTCGGAAACGTCTAATCAGGACACTGAGCGGATCTACCTTTGGCGAAAACAGGGTGGTCCTTCCCCGCTTTTACCAAACCTACATCTAAAAGTGCACCAACTCTGGCCTGGCAATCTACTCATCAGCATTTCTCATCCATAGTAGTCCATTCCACCGCCGCGCTTCTGATCGTGGATCTACTACTAACCTCAGCTTCACCATCGCCCACCAGTCCACACTGTGCATTCGTTCTACCGCCGTAACCGGTACCTCAATGTTGCCTATTTCCCGCACATGAACTTATAAGCTCCCTCTAATCTCGATCGGACGCTGCATGCACTGGCCCCCTACTAGATTATACTTCCGCCATCATCACCCACCCCCAATGAACACAGACCTTCTACCGTGGCACGCGCTGACCAATCAGATCCATCTCAACTTCCCCAGTTAACTGAGCGGGGAGTTGAAGGGGCAGCAGCGGAGTTATTTGGCGAACTTCCGATTATAAGCTTTCCAGGCTTCCGCACCATATTCACAGACCGCTTACATTGGATGGGCCCTCCACTTTGAATGGGCGCGGGAATGGTAATTCAAAGACGTGCAACAATGATAATTCCACGGGTAATGGGCATGCATTATGAAGAAAGACGGTGACGAGCAATTATGAAGCTTCCAAGTCTTTATTATCGACGTCTTCGTGCCACGTGTACACACCTCATTGAAGTGTCACTGTATTAGGCAGTTTGGTTATAGATGTTCCTGATAGGACGCGTAAAAGTATTGAAGGGCAGATTAGCGATTTGATAATAAATGTGTGTTATAAGGTGAGTTCTAAGTTGGGACGGGAGATGAACAATTTGTATAAATCGCGCAAGTTCGGGAGGGCGTTTCCTTCCCTTAACTTTTATCGTTTATCTAAGTTCTAAAAGTATTCATCTGCAACGATTTCTCCGAGTCTTACTCGTAGGCTTTAACAGTCGCAATTCATAGATAATGGTAGTGTCTAAGTTGTAGGTATAAGACAGATCCTCTAGGTCTCAATGAAATGAAATTGCTTGGATTAAAAAAATCAGATGTACCATAAACTATTTAATTTATTCTCAGAAGATATGTCCTAATATCACTGATGGAATTATCTGGACTATGGAATCTGATATCAATGATGGAATTACCTGGACTAATTCCTTCTATAGCCTAGTTTATTTTTAATTGTCAATATTACTGCCCTTAAATTGACTCAATATTGGTAAGGTTCTGCTTACGGTCCCATTGGTGGTGTGAACAGTGAAGTTAAACACGAGATAAAATTTTTTAGAGTTTGTCCAGTTAATTTTTAAATCGTATCTAATTTATGTCTAGGTAGCAGTTTATATTTTATCAGCAATCCTCTCTGGAAAAAATATCTCATAGGTTATCTCTATCACCCATTCAGGTCCGTGTCGATAATTGCAAGCGTGCCGAGAAGTGTTCCTATGTACGGACTTTTCACAAAACCTAATTCTAATGTTTCGAACATGAGATATTTTGAGCTGTTACAGAATTCACGTTCATAATGCGCTCTAAATACGCGTGACGGCAGACAATGTTATTCATGAAAGTGTCGAAATTAGTTAATTTATTTATTTCAAAAATTAGATCATACTTGTTACATTTAATTTCCTGCCCTAGGAATGGTGGCTCGGGCACGCGTACAAGACCATGGTGTGTACATTGGGCTGAGGAACGACGATACTTCCCTCTACTGGACTGATGGAGAGCCTGTGGCAATCCTTAATTACGCTGACGGTGAACCCAATGGATTTTCCTCAGATTCTTGCACAGGTACTTGATACTCGTTACACGCAATAAATTTTTTGCAACGGTAATGATTATATTATTAAGCATGAATTCTTCTAATGCCTAATGTTGTGAAGCTATTAATTGGGGTATCGATATTGTTTCACATGTAAATCGAGAGTAAATATCGTCGATGGTCTGTTGGCGAAAGCATTCTTTTAACCGAATACTAAGTTTGCATGAATCTGACGTACTTTTTAGCGCAGATACGGTTCATAAACAACTATCCTAATTTTTTTAGTTTTATTTTGTCGACTTCTGACTTCTGAAAAGATTTGAACATGCTGCCCTGTGATGATGACCCTTTAGAACTGCTTCTGCTCGAAAGATCAGAACTCAGTCCCAAATTCAGCGGTGCATCTTCACCCTCTGGACTAACTCCTTCTTTAGCCTAGTTTATTTTAAACCTGAACAACTCCCTTTGAAGCCTGCATGTTTAACCCTCTACCACCTGACATGAGTAACCGGAGCAATATTGTCAAAAGCCTGCCTCTCAAAAAGGATACGTTGTTAGTGAGCGCAAAATGACTTGCACTGATAGTTGCCGCCACGTACGAAAACTTTAAAATGTTCTCAGTTGCGTTCATACGTCTTCAGGTTGATACACTAAATAGTTTTCGTATAATTTAAGTGAAAGTTATGTTCCGGGAGAGTGACATTTGGCGTTAGAGGGTTAATTAAGGAGAAAACACTTTGTAAACCAGAGTCAATAAAGCCATGGACTTGAATAGCTAGTTATTTTATTGCTCATCTTTTGTGTTCGGTGTTTGAAGCGATCTGGGGTCGCCCAGGGCAGGGAGGCCAAGTGGTTACGAGGGCATTGTGGCCCAGTGATTTCAGTTAAGAGTACCAGGATTGGTGCAAAGAGGTGCGGGTTCGATCCCATTTCTGTGTGATAATTCTGGTCAGAATCGGCGATGAGGCCAGGCAGTTAAGCAACGTAAAATTGAAGCAGTGAGTCGCGCGTTCAAGACCGCAACGAGCCGTGAATGTTCCGTGATATGTTGACGCCGACAGGTCTAGCAACCTAATTAATGTTGGAACCGCTATTACCATTTTTAATATCTTCTCGGATTGCGTGTAATTCCATGTTTCATATTAACAGGAACAGGAACTTTATCCTCTTGACTTTAATACCTTCAAGCATTTTTTTACCACACATTCCAATAAACTAATATCGTGATTTATCCTGTTCAGAAATGTTAAACGATGGGAAATACGAATGGAACGATTGCGACTGCAAGCTTCGATTGCCGTTCGTTTGCGAAAAGAAAGGTGAGCCACGTATTTAAAAGGAAACCGATGCTATGAATTTTGAAATCTTGAACCACTCCAAATAATTTAAGTATTTTTTGTGAGTTATTCTTCGCTACATGTTTCAGATTAAAAAGTTTCATTCGGAAACTGTCCAAGAAGACTACTGGAGAGAATTAAAATATTCAAAGAATGATTCGAGAAACGTCTAAATGAAGTAGCTCCTCAATACCTGTAAATAAATTCATTCGACGGATGTGCATTAGCATTTAGTAGAATTTAAAGTGCTGCTGAGACTTCACAGATTTTATTCATTCATTGCCCAGGACAGCCTGCATAAATCTTGTTCTATTATTAGAAAATGATCCAATTTGATCATGGACGACTAGCAATTATGGAATTCATATCACGATTCATAACGGAAATTTTGAACTACTAATCGGAAAACATATCATGTTTTGAAGCAAAATTCCAAGGTGTCTCGAAGCTAAGTATTCACTAGCTTCTTGGCCCATTCATACAAAAGGAAAATCATATATATTCCATCCTATTAACTAAAAATTTAAAAGCAAAGGATAGTCCACAAAAATTCATATCTTTATAGAAAACGTATGGGAGTTCAGCTCCATCGTCAGTTCGTAGAATCTAGAAATTACGTAGAAAGTCACAAATTAGTACAATTGAAAGCACAGAACACGATTAAAAACCTCAATTTACAAAAAATAGGGCACAAAACCTATATATTCAACATTTCAAGGGGATAGGAACTAACAGCTGAATTTAAATTGGGCCAAAGTTTAAGGGTGAGGTATACCCTCCGGAAAAACTTTTTTGTTTACGGACGGATCTTTCTGAAACTTCACACATATATGTATAACCGCAAAAGAATCATATTTTGTTCGTGTGATTTTTTTCGAAAAATTGCATAGAAAACGGCCAAAAAGGGGGGTACTACGGAAAAGCCTACTTCTCCTAGAGTTTTAAAGCTACAACGATGAGACATATACCATTCTATTGGTAAAGACCATACCAATCGAGTAACGAGGCCCGATTTTTTATTTTTGCCTTTGGTTTTTTTTATACGCATTTTTCCATTTTTTTCATTTTTCTCATTCCCCCCCCCCCTTCCTCCCCATTTTGAATCAAAACTATGCACAAATCTAAAAAAAGGGCCGTGCTACTGCATAGGTATGGTCTTTACGAATAGAATGGTATAGGTCTCATCGCTGTAGCTTCAAAACTCTAGGAGTAGGCTTTTCCGTGACAAAAAGTTGAACTTTTCAGGACAGCGCGACAAAGTTCCGTGCGCCTTGAAATAGACACTCAATGTAGCATAGAGACCAAACTACAGGCTTCTGTAGCCTAATTCCACTCAAGGAAGCTAGCAGCGTCTTGCAGCACACGTCTCCGTATGAAGCAAGCAGGGTAACCGAGCCTTGATGCCAGATACACATCTATATGTAGTCTTAGCGAGTGAATTGAGTCCCATCTATTTTCTGAAGGAAATCCACCCCCGCCCCCCTTTAGAGCCCAGCTGTGTGCGTTAAAATTCACTCACAGCTATCGCAGTAGTATCGTTGAAAAGCTCAGAATGTCAGCTTTAAGATGAGACTAGGCATGTAACTGCAGCACAACTCAAGTAGAAACTATATTCAAAGATTTCAGCAGCTAATTACTTCATATCTAATTAGTTAAAGAACTCTCCCACCCGCTTCCCTTTAAAGAGACGTCATGAACGTAAATATTTACATACAGACATGGCAGTGGTACCATTGGAAAGAGCAGAATTTCAGCTTTAAGATGAGATTAAAGCCAACAAATGCCAAATCGGAAAATATTAGGGTATACCTCCCCCTTAAAAATGCACAATGACTCTAAAATACGCAAATCTGAAGTACCGGAGGTGGAAAATAACGCCCTAAAGTCACTGTCAGAAACAGCAACAGGGACATCACACTGCTCGGCGGGAGTGCACACAGCCGAATGAGGGGGCGCGATAGCAACTTTCCGGTCCTACAACTTCTTCCCTTATGCTCAGCGACCCTGGAATAAAGATTGCGTGAAGTCATCCCGACGTACGCTGATGTACATCGTGCAGAACGAAATTTATAAACCAGGGACGATCGCATATGAACAGGGAACACATCTTTATATCTAGATAAAGAACCGATTTTGAAACTGTTTACCAGAACAATATGAAGTTTAAGGTTTGGAAAGTATCTATCGGACAAGACATTTAATTCTCTTGACATAGCTTCGGACGCAGGGCCGAATTATGGAAAATAACAATAAATAACGTTCCTACTATCGCGCTCGGGAGCTACCTCACTGAATCGCTTCTACAAGAATTTCTTGATTTGGGTATACATCAAACTTGCCGGAAATCCATTAAGCGAGAAATATTACGTAGAAATTCAAATTCAGCGTGCATAGCATGGAATGTTGAACAAATGCGAAAACCTCTGTATAATAATGTTAGATGCCCATATAACTTGAACCGGAATTAACAAAAACTAAAGAAACTGGTATTTAGACCGGTGAATGTCGGTTTTCGAAACACAGAAGTAAAAAAACGGCCATTAGATTTTGTAATATTGCAATCGAGGAAGGGGAAACTATTGTTAGATTCAAGCTCCATGGTAAATGTGATAGAATTATGTTGCGAGTTTAGGTAATCAAAGAATGGTTTGACATGGGAGGGATGTTTGAAAATTAAATGGGTGTCATCGACGTATCTGTTGATACGTCGATGGCTTAAAAATTGGCTTGAAATCAAGACGACAATTGGCCAGCCAAGAACCCTCGTGAAAACATATAAAAATATTTGTAAAGGTTGGGCCAAGCGGTAGTCCCATGCCTAAACCGTCAATCTGTCAATAAAACTTGTCTGCAAATATGAAAAACGAGTTAAAAACTGGTAATTGTAAAAGAGATTTGAAAAATTTACGGTTTAAAGCAAACAAATGATCACTAATATTTTCAAACAGAGAATTGAGACAAATTTCAATTGTTTCGTGAAGGGGTACATTGGTAAGTAAATTTCCTACGTCAAATGAGGCCATAGTTAAATCCTGAAGTTCAGTAAAGTATTTCAAGCGATCCACAAACGTGTAAGAATTATCAACAGTATATCGATTAGTCGTAAGACAGTTTAAAACCGTAAGAGAAATTTAGCAAGTTTAAAACTAGGAGTATTACACGCGGCAAAAATTGTCGAAATTGAAACTTAGAAGCAAAATCAAACTTATGAATTTTAGGTAAGCCATATAAAATACAAGGGCAAGAACGGCAATATAAAATAAGGGTAAGGAACGTTATGTATTATTTTTCTCCATACTTCGGCCCTGCGTCCGAAGCTATGTCAAGAGAATTAATAGTCTTGTTCGATAGCTACTTTCCAAACATCAAACTTCATATGTTCTGGGGCCATACTTTCAAAACTCGCAAAGTATGACGAAAATAATGTCGTGGCGAGGACAGGGAAACAACGATCGGGCATGATAATAAATCTTTATACGATTTATTGAAAAATCAAATAAACCTAATCGCTGGAGCCGTCCACGGAAGGGGCAAATCGAGCTGCGCCACCCCTTCTTCCAGACGACCTATTTCGTCAGGACACTCATCCTAGATAGAACAAATAAGAGTTGGTCAATACCGAGTAAAAAATGAGAAATAAATTAGTAATCATAATTCCCTCACAGTTATAGGTCTAATCAATTATGAATTCGAACGAATCCAATTTCAACGAGTTATCAATTAAATCAGTTATCAATTAAATCAGTTATCAATTAAATCAGTTATTAATTAAATCAGTTATTAATTAAATCAGTTATTAATTAAATCAGTTATCAATTAAATCAGTTATCAATTAAATCAGTTTTCAATTAAATCAGTTATCAATTAAATCAGTTATCAATTAAATCAGTTTTCAATTAAATCAGTTTTCAATTAAATCAGTTATCAATTAAATCAGTTATTAATTAAATCAGTTATCAATTAAATCAGTGATCAATAGGCAACTAATGAGGAATGTGATAAACTTAGTTACATTCAAATGAAGACAAAATTTAGCCGGATGAATGTCTAATTCTAGAGGAACTTAGCAAAGCCGACTTAAGACACTTCAAGAAGCAGTCACTGAACCACGGCACAGGGTAGGATAGCGACTTACGGCTTCAAAACAAAAGTGCAAGCTCTTCTGGGTCCAGGTGAGGAGTCGTCTAGTAGGTGGTAGAGCCTAGTGCAGTTCCATCATCGCCGTACGGAGCCACAAGACAATAATCCAACGCACGGATGAGCACAAAGGTTGGCAACAGGAACGACACAGGTGAAAGTAGCAGGGATGATGGCTGAAGATAATCTGTATGTTGGCGGCCAGCGTTGCCCGACTTCGGTTTCGCTGGAGAGAAAGCCTCAAAAACCGATTAAGTAAAGTCGCTACCTCCCTGATGGCTGAATGACTGCGTTGAAATTTTAAAAATGAATTGGTATAGAAATTTAAACTTGAACATCCCTGATTAGTTGCCATAGAAGATCTATAAACTATAATTTAACCTTTTCGACAAAGTAAACGTAGGTACTTACGCTCTATTTTCTTGCCTATGATTGATGGATTTTACTTGAACGGCCGTCAATGATTGGCTGATGAACTTACGATCGCTTAACTTTTTTTTTAAAGTATGGGACCTGGTAAACAGTTTCAACATCGGTTCTTTCCTTAGATATAAAGATATGCTCCCTGTTCATATGCGATCGTCCCTGGTTTATCAATTTCGTTGTGCACGATGTGCATCTGCGTACGTCGGGATGACGTCACGCAATCTTTATTCCAGGGTCGCTGAGCACAAGGGAAGGAGTTGTAGGCCAGGACATGCTATCGCGCCCCCCTCATTCGGCTGTGCGCACTCACGCTGAGCAGTGTGATGTCCCTGTTTCTGACAGTGACTTTAGGGTGTTAGCTTCCACCTCCGGTACTTCAGATTTGCGTATTTTAGAACATTGTACATTTTTAAACTAAGGCTCAATTTAAATTCAGCTGTTAGCGCCTATCCCCTTGAAATTGTGAATAGATAGGTTTTGTGCCCTATTACTTGTAAATTGAGGTTTTTAATTGTTTTCTGTGCTTTCAATTGTACTAATTTGTGACCTTCTATGTAATTTTTAGATTCTACGAACTGACGATGGAGCTCGATTCCGAATCGTTTTCTATAAAGATACTAATTTTTGTGGACTATTCTTTGCTCTTAAATTCTTAGTTAACATACGATTTAAGCAAATAAGTTACATCAATTCCATCCAATTGTTGTATGCTTTTTGTTGATGTCGACACTGTCTACTTTAACGCAGTTGTATCAAACTTGACATCGTTTTATGGCAGGCAAACCTCTCATTTAAGGAAATTTTCCTTGCAAACAATAAATCTAACAATTGCATCACATAAAATATCATTAACTTATCGGTTATCAAGTCAAGCTTCCATTAGTATAGTATGAATTATGCTGTGGATTTTTATCCTGTATATTTTTCAGGACTTGACTACAAGTCACCAACACCTCCGCCAATTCTGTTAGGTGAGTGAAAAAGACTTAACTTTTCATATTCTTCATTGCCAATTTTCCAGCTAATGAATAAGATTTCATATAAATGCCAGTAAATCATATTTTCACACATCAACATGAGTGGTATTATATTGCAGAGTGCCCCGCTGGCTGGAAGTTTTTCAACGAGTTCTGCTACTACATCTCCTCCTCATCGGAGCTAAAGAATTGGTCAGACGCCAGAGGTTCTTGTGCTGACATGTATGGTAGCTCACTCACTTCCATCATGAGTGAAGATGAGAACAAATTCATTTTGGGTAAGAAATTGTGACACAATGCTCGAATAATACCAGTCTTAGTATTCCAGAGAATCTAGTTTTCACTTTTCGCCACTTTTTATGTCAAATAGTTGCATAAAAATGATATTGTACTGTTATTACAGTTGACTGGCCTAGACTAAAATTATTGTCACCAGAATATGGTTCCCTTTATATATTATGCCGACATTTAGAAAAAAATTGTGCCATCTCGATCAGTCAAATGCAGTTCGAGATGTGCTTACTACAAATGAACTATAGAAAACAGGTTACTGATACATTGGGCGAAAATATTATTTTCATTCTCGTTGTCCTCTTCATCAATTATTTTCAAAACATTTGTTATCTTTGTGCTGTATCATAAATATGTCAAATTAAAGATATTACTTATATATTACTGAAAAAATATCTAATTTGAATAGAGCTAGAAGTACAAGTTGAAACCTAGCTTACTGGTAATTTTGTTTATGCTTATTTTGTCCTCTCGTTTCTGAGACTTCTCTTGTGATCTTGAAGAAAAACGAGAACGATTTTAAAGTTATCGTCCTTTTCCACGTGTATATACGTACACTGAGAGAAAAAAGCCCCATGTTTTGAAACACTTGGGTGTTTCAAATCCTCCCCGAGCGATCGTGCCCAAACCGAAACACCCAGGTGTTTCATAAACGTTCAGGTGTTTCAAAATTTGCGATTTTGAAACACTTGGGTGTTTCAACGGGGGAACACGGGAAGTCTACGGAGAATGAAACCTTATTTTCAGAATTTATGCAATATCCTTGTCCAGTTTCCAGCGCCTGATGAAATTATTTTAACATATTTTACTCCTCCGGTCGATCGCAGTCTAATCCATGGCTGCCTCAATACCAAAATTATGAAAACTATATTTATCCGTATTTATCTGATTTCAACGCTTTTCTCCTTCACAGCGAATTTAGTCACATATTCATTCTTTTATACACATATTTATTACACAATTTTATCGGTATGTACAATCATCATGAAACTACACTCTTGGCTCTCACCTCTATCGAACTGTGGTTGAAGAAACTATGAGTCGCCCGCCGAGATTCGAACCTCTGCCAAGACTGCAACCAAACGCTCGCGAGCAGGCGCCTTAGTCCACTCGGCTACGGAGACGGCAACTACATAGAGCTGCAGTATTGGTTTTGTCTTGCGCGCGGTACTACCAGAATAAATCTTCGATTTTATTATCAACTTCTACTGTGCGTGAATGGTATAGATGTCGCTCGTTAACATTACTATTGACAAAAGAACAGCAGTGATTTGAATCAATTAAACGAATTGAGTTGGGTCAATTAACCGTAAGCAGTGTAGATTCGTGCATTCATGAGCGGCGGCTCCGCACAACCTCCTCCTATGACAGCATTCGGCGCACTGACCACGCGACCCTAGCCGCTAGCCGCACAAATATAAGCGCGTCAAGCTCGAGAGGTTTTGAAACACCCAAGTGTTTCAAAACGGGGGGCCTTTTTTTCTCAGTGTAGTATTTTTGATAGAGAGAATGTTGTTTCTCGATATTGTTACTATCGAAACCAGAATATTTGCAGGGTTGCAGCATCTTTAATTGAGATGAGAATTTTAGTTGCATATGATGGTATTATTTTGTACATGTCGTGGATTTAATATAGTGTACTTCTGTCAATAACTTTGAATTCACATGTGCAAACTTTTTGTATTGAGAATGGGATTGTATTTGTATAATGAAAATACACTATTGTAACATTTTTGAATTAACAAATAGAGCTTCGCGGGAAATAAAGGTACTGACGATACATTCGAATCCAGTGTTTTAAACATTCATGCACAGAAACAACGAAAAAAGTTAGAAAAATAACGTTTGCGGACTTGCGAGAACGAACTTCATTTCTGATTTGCTGTATGAAATGATAATGACAATTTTTACTGGCTGGTCGGCCAAAATACTCAAGTGAGGTGTGTTAGTGGTCTCCGTCGTTCGGACGGGTTACGCGTAGTGTTTAATCGGCCAGTTGATTAGGAATATGCTGATTAGTTCTAAAATTTTGCATAAAAGTTTTCGTTGGGAATGAAGCGGTCATTGATGCAGTGATACATTGCAACGCTCTGATTGGTTGACTCACTCGCACCTACAAAAATCCCCTTCAAAAGTTTCCGCGTTGAGTGTTTTTAAATTGTCAATTGTGCGTTTGAAGACAGATTTTGATGAAAGGCAGTGTACTTCAATTCCCTGCAAAATAGGGATGACATCTTATTTTGGATGAACAATTACTAGAAGATCTCATTTATGCATGAGGTTGTAACTTGTAGCTGAGACGATTAGTGTTAACCAACTGACCGCGAAAATGAAGAGATTAAAATTGTAAAGATTTCTCTCTCATGTGATCAACGTTTCTTATATACGAGTATATGTGCGGACAGGCAAAAGGCTGTCCAATTCAAGCTCCTAGGTACTTCGGTCATGAGAGGACTGATAATATTGAGAGTAGGAGGTGAATAAACCGAAGAGTTCGAAAAAAATTGTGCTCGTTAAATGTTCGTAGAAGGGCAGATGTTTTCCAGAACGAAGGTTAGTAAATTCTCAAGAAAAAATTTGGAATTTTGACCGCCATTTTTCACGCGCACTAATTTCCAAATTTGCCTGCTCATTAGATTCCATTCAAGACGATTATAAAAATACTTGGATTGGCCTCATTGCCCTGGACAACGGATCTTATACATCGTGGGTGGACGGGAACTTGATCACTTACACCAACTGGTATCCCGGGGAACCTAACAATCAATTTGGACTGGAGGACTGTGTAGGGGTATGCTACCCTCGTTCCAAAAAGTTAATGTCTGTTCTCAAATTCAGTATTACCTTTAAAATTATTGGAATGCTAAGAAATCTTATTGCACTAATCAATAGTGAGCACTCGAAGAGAAAAAGTATGATTAATGGCTCCATATATACGTAAGATTTTATTTTTGGGGTGCTTATCATACATATAATTGTACCACACAGCATGACAACATCCAGAGTACCTCACTTCAGGTCAATGCTACCAACAAGAAAGCTCCTTAACAAATGTTACTATTAAAAGCGATAAAAATGGCTCCTGCTTACTAACATCTACAGACTGCAAAACCAGATTTGAATTGTAATATAATATTTTACTTTCATCTTTCCTCAGATGATGTACTCATATGCAGGGGCTGGTCAGGGGCAATGGGACGACATGCCCTGTGATAACATAGAGCGCTACGTTTGCAAAACACAATTCAGTGAGTAATATTACGCATCGGATTGAAAATTAAAATATCCTGTACATTATGCAAAAAAATCAGGTGGACCTCAGTTCATTCAAATTTATGTAGAATTAATCAAACTCAGGAGAAAAATGCATCAATGTAGACACGGTGTTGAGTTCAGGGTCCAGTTATAGGAAAACTTGATGAAAATTCTAAGCATTAAAGACCTTACTAAATTATCATCTTTTAATTCTCTCACAGTTAGCGACGAAATTATTCGTACACCCCCTTTCTTTTCAAGATTTTATGGAAAAAATCGAAAATTAATGAAAGTAAGAGCCTACGATAGAGAAAAAATAATGTAACAAAGAAAAAAATACTGCATTCTCAGAACAAAATGCACGCTCAAAACTTTTTAACATGAAAAACTCCCCAACACCTTCAGACACAATTATTCGTACAGTTGACATGTCTTCTCATCTTCATAACTTCTAGCAGTCTCTTTCCATAGTTGATGTGATCCGAAGTGGTATCCTTTCGGATATTATCCCGGTGGACAGTATTATCGGTGACGTCATTCAAGAGATGTCGGTTCCTGCTATTAGTCAGTAAACTTCACGATGGGAAAAAAGAAGGAGCACAGCTTTGAGAAGCAAAATTATTGACCTATACAAATATGGCAATGGTTATGGGTGTATCTCGCAACGCCTGAATATTCCAAGATCCACAGTGCAGTCGGTGATAAAGAAGTTAGTAGAGTTTGGCTCTTCGCACACGTTGCCCGGACGGGGACAGAAGCCAGAACTATCGGAACGATCAGCTGGAAAACTGTGTCGTGAGGTAAATATGAATCTTAGAGTGGTGTTGAAGAACATTGCCAGTAGATTAACCAGTGTGGGAACAAGCGTGAGTCATCGTAACAACGTTCAAGAAGAATGGCCTGCATGGACGCAGACATCGATGAGTCCCACTTTACACATGACATCTTATTGCTGCTCGTGTGCCATTCACAAGATACAAGTTCAAAACAATAAAACATGCATGTCCATTCAAGACAGTTATCTAAATACTTGGATTGGCCTCATTGCCCTGGACCTATACAAATTGACCTATCACAACCTCAGCAAGATGGAAGGTTATGATGGATGTTGCTGTGGTGCTCATTACATAGACGAAGAGAGAGGTTTTTGGAATCAAGTATTATATGGCGAAAAAACAAAAATCGAGCTACTTGAACTTTTTAATCCGAAGAATATTTGGAGGAAAGAATGGGAGGCTTTACTATTACTATTACTATTCCACGAAGAGATTGTCGTGGCGTCTCGTTCACATCGAACTTCGAGGGCACGTTACAAGCGGCTTAAAAAGACCCGAAAGGATAAAAACAGATGACGTCTATGCTAAAACAGAGGACATGTGCCAAGACTGATGACGTCTATGCTAGAACAAACAACATCTATACCAAACCAGTAATATGCATGATAGATTAGATGACAGCTAGGCCTAAGATTCAAAGGCTCTACGGAAAAGTTCTGTTTTTAGGCGTCGACGAAACAACGGCAGCGAAGAAGCAGATGTCACCGATGCTGGCAGACCATTCCATGTTCTGGCCGCAGCGACCGGGAACGCTCTGTCGCCGACGGTGGACAGACGNGGGACACGAACAGTTCGTGCAGGAATGAGGTCGTCGAGTAAAGATGTCAATTCGATGTCATAGAGTTTTGCTAGATCATCCACCGACAGCTCCGACCATGAGCCCGGCCGACCAAGTCGGGACGACTGAAGTCTCCTGCTCAAAACATCGCCGTCGAGATCGCGCCACGGGCGACAGGTGACTTCTCTGTACGTCAACGCCGAACGAACACATGGCACCGTCCACTGGAGTAGTCGGTGGTCAGATATTGCGATTTCGATGATGTCAACGGGCAGAAGCTGAATGTCGGTACGCGTGATGACAACATCCAGCAAACCGCCAAGGTCATGGGTTGGTAAAGTAACGTGACAGACCATGCCGAAGGCAGACAGCAGATCGTTCAGCTGACGCGCCCATTGGTCGTCGGCACGATCCAGTCGAACATTAAAATCACCAGTGATAAAAATGTGATCGGTGAGGGTCACAAGTCGAGTGAAAACATCGCTTAATTCAACAAAAAAATCACGTGTGAGAGCAACTGATCCAGGACGATAGATGACGACAGCAACACATGCGAACGAGCCGCAAGCGACCGTGACACACAGCAGCTCAAAGGTGGTGGGTCGGGCGCCGATGTCGAGCCTGGTCAGTTTCACGCCGCAGGCGACGGTAGCCAGTCCGCCGTGATTCGTCACTAGGGTGTTGGGCTGCGCACGAGGCCGTGCACGCTCGACCACTTGGCTTTCCTTCAGAAGATCAAAATTCCAAGAGTTTAGCCTGTTCAGAGAGTCAAGTTAATTATGTTTGGAGTTGTTTCTCCTCAAATGTCATCGGGAAGTTGTTCTAATTTGTGGAATAATGAACTAGGATGTTTATGTATCGATTTCGAAGGAAACATATAAACATCCGCTCTGAATTTTGGTCTTGAATGACGATGGATCTTTCAGCAAGATAATGATTCGAAGCATACGTCGGAAGCTACGATCGTTTGGCTTAATAAAACGAAGGTTACTGTTCTTCCGTGGCCAGCAATTGGCCCCGACCTGAACCGGATTGAGAACTTACGGCAAGAATGGGAAGTTAGAATCAATAATCGGGCTCCCAAGAATAGCCAGAAATTTAAACAAGTCGCAATTGAAGAATGGAATAATATCCAATCAGATACTACTGCGAATCTCATCAATAACTATAGAAAGAGACTACAAAAGTTATCGAGGTGAAAGGAAATGCCTTTGATTATTAATATTGCAACTATTTTGGTATTTTCCAACTGTACGAATAATTGTGTTTGAAGGTGCTAGGAAATTTTACATTACATACTGATTATTTTGATTAGCTGCATTTCTTCTCGATAGCATCACCTCAGCCTTTAAGTACTCACTATAGCATTTTTTATTTGCTGTGTTCGTTAACATAACAACGTTCGTTTTAAAATGAAATGGCTTCAAATTAAAATATATATCCCATAAATGAAATGGCGAGCATCATTAGTCCTTATTTTTTCACTGCGTGACTGTTCCGTTTGAGTTCTCAAACAGTGAATTCTTCCCCAGAGACGTGCCCTGAAGGCTGGTCGCTGCATGACAACAAATGTTATTACATCAGCACGATCAGCGAGACATGGGACATTGCGCTCGACAAGTGCAGGGAAGTGGAGGGAGATGCGACACTGCTGAGCTGGCATTCTCAGCAGGAGGTTGATTACGTGCAAGGTGAGGTTGTCGCGGTGTCCATTACGTGCTAGATGAGCGTTTCGTGGTGTCCATTACATGCGAGGTGAGGTTGCCGTGTTGTCCATTACGTGCAAGGTGAGGATTTCGTGTTGTCCATGCATGCAAGGTGTGGTTGTTGCGGTGTCCATGCACGCAAGGTGAAGTTTGCCGTAGTGTCCATTACGTGCAAGGTGAGGTTGTCGCAATGTCCATGCGTACAAGGTGATGGATGTTGTTGTGGTGTCCATTACATGCAAGGTGAGGTAGACGCTGTGCCTTTACGTGCTACATGATGCTTTCATGGTGTCCATTACATGCGAGGTGAGGTTGCCGTGATATCCATTACGTGTAAGGTGAATTTGTCGCGGTGTCCATTGCGTGCAAAGTAATGGATGGTGTTGTGGTGTCCATTACGCGCAAGGTTAGGCTGTCGTGGTATTCTTTACGTGCAACGTGAAGCTTTCGTTGTGTCCATTACGTGCAAGGAGAGGTTTTTGCGGTGTCCATTGCGTGCTAGGTAAGTATTAAAATCACTTAAAAGTTAACCAGGAATTTAAAAGCAAAGAAAATGCCACATAAATTAACCATATCTTTATAAAAGAAAACGTTTCGGAGTCTAGCTCCATCGTCAGTTCATAACACAAAATTCAGTTCAGAAGAAGTTCAGTCCTAGAAACACAAATACAATCAATTAGTAAAGTAAAATGCACTGTCAGGTTTTAAAACGGAAAATAATGTAATAAGAAATGAAATTAACACTAGTAAACGGCCTAACTATTTACAATTTAAAGAGGAAAGGAGCTAAAAGCGGCATTCAGACTAGGCTTCTGTTTTAATATATACAGGGATTTGATTTCAAAATTCGTAGATCAGTAACACCGGATGTGGAAGCTAGAATTTTAAAATCACTATCAGATACAGAGAGGTGTTGCACTGCTCGGTATGATCGAACACGTACAGCAGAATGAGGTGGATTTATAACTAGGTTCCCCGTTCTATGACTCCCGCCCTCATGCCCAGCCAGGCTAGTATAGAAATTGCGTGACGTCATACCGACGTACGCGGATGCGCTCTGCGCACAACTTTATCTGTAAACTAACTAGTGACGATCGCATAAGAACAGGTAGGGGGTATCTTTATACCTGAAAAACGAGCCGATTCTTAACCGGATGTAAATCTTCATGTGTTGCTAGTTAACAATTTTCGGTGAGTTTTTCGTGGTGTCTATTGCGTGAAAGGTGAGGTTTTCGTGGTGTCCATTAAGTGCATGGTGAGGCTGTCGTGGTGTCCAATGTGTGCAAGATGAGGTGGGCGTGGTGTCTATTGCGTTCTAGTTGAGGTCGTCGTAGTGTCTATTGTGTGCTAGTTGAGGTTGTCGTAGTGTCCATTGCGTGCATTGTGAGGTTGTGGTGTTCGTAACGTGTTAGGTAAGGTTGTCGTGGTTTCGATTGCGTGCAAGGTGAAGTTTTCGTGGTGTCCATTGCGTAAAAGGTGAGGTTTTCGTGATGTCCATTGCGTAAAAGGTGAGGTTGTCGTTGTGTCTATTGCATGCAATGTGAGGTTGTCGTGGTGTCCATTGCGTGTTAGATGAGGTTATCGTGGTGTCCACTGCGTGCCGGATGAGGTTGTCTGAGTGTCAATTGAGTGCTAGGTGAGGTTGCCGTGGTGTCAATTGCTTGTACGATGAGGTTTCGTGGTATCCATTGCGCGCATGGTGAGGTTGTCGTGGTGTCCATTGTGTGTTAAGTCTGGTTGTCGTGGTGTCCATTACGTTCTAGGTTGGATTCTAATTATGTCCATTGCGTGCTAGGTGGGGTTGTTGCGGTGTCCATTGCGTGCTAGGTGGGGTTGTTGTGATGGCGATTGCGTGCTAGGTGGGGTTTTCGTGGTGTCTATCGCGTGCTAGGTGTGGTCGCATGTCGTGGTGTCCCTTGGCGTGACTGGTGAGGTTGTTGTGGTGTCTATCGCGTGCTAGGTGAGGTTGTCGTGGTGTACATTGCGTGCTTGGTGATCTTTTCGTGGTGTTCATTGCGTGGTATGTGAGGTTGTTAATTGTAGTGTCCTTGCATGCAAGGAGAGGTTGTCGAGTTTAACCTTGCGTGCTAGGTGGGATTTTCGTGGGTTCATTGCGTGTTAGGTGGGGTTGTCGAGTTCTTTGCTTACTTGGTGGAGTTGTGATATCCATTGCATGCGAGGTGGGGTTGTTGTGGTATCTTTTGCTAGCTTTGTCGTAGTTTACATTGCTTGCATAATGTGGTGGTCGTGGTGTCCATTACGTGCTAGGTGAGGTTGTCCTAGTGTCCATTGCGTGCTAGGTGAGGTTGTCGTTGTGTCCAACGTCCATTGCGTGCATGGTGAGGTTGTTGTGGTGTCCATTACCATTGCGTACTAGGTGATGTTGTCGTAGTGCCCATTGCGTGCTAGGTGAGGTTGTCGTTGTGTCCAACGTCCATTGCGTGCATGGTGAGGTTGTTGTGGTGTCCATTACGTACTAGGTGAAGTTTTCGTGGTGTCCATTGCGTGATAGATGAGGATGTCGTTGTGTCCATTGTCCATTGCATGCATGGTGAGGTTGTCGTGGTGTCCATTGCGTACTAGGTGAGGTTGTCGTAGTGTTCATTGCGTGCTAGGTGGGGGTTGTCGTTGTGTCCAACGTCCATTGCGTGCATGGTGAGGTTGTCGTGGTGTCCATTGCGTACTAGGTGAGGTTGTCGTAGTGTCTATTGCGTGCTAGGTGAGGTTGTCGTAGTATGTAGTTTATTGAATGTATCAAATCCAAGGTTTGATCAACGATTCGATCGATCTGACGTGGCTGGGACTGCGGCTCGAGGAGGGCGAGGCCTGGAAATGGACGGATGGCTCGGCTGATGACTTCGTCAACTGGAGGCCTGGACAGCCGGACCACAACGACACCGAGCTGTGCGCCCTGACTGATTCAAATCCGGAAAGCTCCAATTACGGTTACATCGACAACTATCCCTGTAACGGCTCGCATCACTTCGCTTGCGAATATTTCCCAAGTAAGAATGTCGAAGTCACGAATAGAAATCGAATTTATATACGCTTATTGCATGGATCAACATAAATATTGCAGTAGATAGGAGCTCTTGTAGCATCATTGAAACTACTTCCCGCAACTTCCTTACCAAATGCAATATATCAAGGAAATAAATAAAGCGATGCTCAACCAATTGATCTTCAATTTCACTGCAATACCTTTCTTTACCAAGGACCAATTTATTCCAAGGACCAATATTTCATATCATTCATGAGATGATAGTTGATTTGTAAAATGAGTCAATTTTAGTATTTTAAATTTGCACTTTCAATGTATTGATATTTTGTCAACAAAATTTTGCCCGGAGATAATGACCATTAATTTAAAAATTTTCAGATCCTACTGTTGGCTGTGATCCTGGCTGGGAGTTTTACGGCGGTTATTGCTATTATGACAGTCAGCATAAGGAGGAATTTTCTACACTGAAATACGACGAAGCATCGGCTAAATGCCAAGAATTTGGTGGCCACCTTACGTCCATCTTATCCGCAGACGAAAATAACTTCCTCTATAGTCATCTAGATGGTAAGTCTTACTTTGATCCATTTCCATTTCCATTTCCGGGCCGTCGATCCCCGTCAGGGACTTGCCCCCCCCCCCATATTGGCGACCGACAGCACCCTGTTGCACCCCGGGCACTGAGCAACCCTCCCCCTCCTGGCTCTCACCGGCTCCTCCCCCCCTCCCTCCACAACCCCCCCAGCGTCTCGTCCCCCAGCGTCCTCCCCCATATGCCCCCCCTCCCCCTCTCGACCCTCCTCCTCC